TTCTTTTCTTTTCTTTTCTTTTTTTTTTTTTTTTTTACATCACAAATACACCAGCTTATTCTTCGAAAAAACTTTTTCATTCGTTTCCTTGATATAACAAAATTGTTATTTCTTCCATCCAATCAATTTTCCTCTTACATTTACAAAGATAATTCACACGTGGAAGAACTTTCATACGACATCCTTTCTTCTTCATTCTTTCACTTGGCAGAGTTCGATATAAAATTGTTTCACGTGGCAGGAAATAGATTAGAACTTGATTCTCGTTCGACTTCGTTAAAACATTATGTTTTTGTTCGATTGTTCGGTTTTCGTTTGCGACAATATATCTAATACAGAATTCTCCTCGCCACCGGCTAACATTCGAACGTCTCTATCCGGATCTGATCTCATCTCTCTGAGTCTTTTCTCTACTTCTTCCGCCTGTTCGACTCCCAACCATTCTGCTAAATATCAAAATACATATTTGGTCAATTACGTTTAAAGCGTAATTTATATCGTATATCATATCGTGAATATATTAAAAGAAATAAATACTTACATCCCATAGGAATAACGTTCTTCGATAATGTTCTCGCTACAACTAATCTTACGTTTGGTACTTTGTCGGTGGATAATTTTAACAAATTAGGTAACATTTCCTGGGAAAATCTATCCCCACTGATAGCGTTGCTGGATATTAATTTGGCGCACACAAAAGCGAACGTTTGCCTTCTGATCCATTTTTTTGCATATACAAGAGAAAATCTAAGCTCTTGAAATAGCGCCGTTACGTGACGTTCGTTGTCAGATAGATGAGCTACTATTTGCGTAACCTGTATAAAATATATCGAGTATAACGCGTTATTACACAATGAAATCTAAGCGTGATTGTTTCGTAAGCGTAAAATATAAAAGAGAGGAAAAAAAAAATATATATATATATATATATATAAATCATACCAAAGAAAGCGCAACATATCTCACAGCAGCAACTTTGTCGCGCAATAATTCAAGAGACAATGATACTATGTGCCGTTCTACGTCCGCAGGATTAAACAGATTCACAACTTCTAACAATTGAGTGGCCAACTCTTCTCGAAATCTCCAATTCCACTCGGTATCGGTGGAAAGGAATTCCTTCAGTCTTGGCAAATATTGGCGACGATCGGTCGGTTTGAGTATTTTCAAAAATGTCGCTAGATGTTTGAGCACACCTATTCTGACCTCGTCTAGATCTTTGATAAATCCATCGTAGATCGGAACAAGATCAGTTACGGTAAGTTCCTCTCCAAGAATAATAGCGATTTCATGGATACTGGAGGCTAATGTGCGTCTCACTTTCCATTGATTGGCACTTGCCAAAGATTGGTAAGCTTGCTTCAAATATGGCCAATTTTCTTTCCCTAACGTGAGCACAACCGCGGGAAAGCTAAAAGCGCAATGATGAGGAATATCCGTACCCATGTCTGAACATTGTTCCGGCTCGGCCATTGACAAGAAAGAATCGATCAAATGTTGAGGAACGATCTCTTGATCGTTGAAATTGATAACATCGAATTTGTCCGTCGAATATTTGTCTTCTTTTAACATGTTATCTAATAACGATGCTTTACTAGAAGCTGTAATGCCGATCAACGGCTGTTTCCGATTTACATTATTTTGCGCCGCGGATTTTTTGGCAGCTTCGACAAGTTCGTCGTCCAATGGAAGATCCGGTGCTATGTAATAGTACAGGAATGGATTAAAATTTTCCGTGTCGTCCAACGTATTTTGATCATCTTTGTCATTTTTTAGATGCTTTCTCTGTATCTGAAATAAATTATTTACCAAATAATTGGCAAATTTCTCGTCGGAAATAAATTCGACGATCGAACAAACGAAAGAATCGATCTTCTGCTTCTTAACTCGAGAGAAATGATTATTTTCAAATGGGGGAAACGAAATTAAACTCGCGAACCATCGCGTCGCGTTCGTTACTTACGGACACGTCGTACCTTCGATTTATAAGCTCTCATTCTGGAAATATGATCTTCCTGAGACTCATCCTCGTCGTCGTCTTCTTCGAAAATTGGTTTTTGTATTATCACAGATAAATTGAAGTTATCCTTAGAATTATGATCCTCTGCGTCGAGCGTATGACTCCGTATCGCGCACTTAGTGGGGAATATTCCTTCGTACAAATACCTTATACTGTAATAAAATGAGGATCGGTACAATATATTTTTTCTTTTCTTTTCGATTAAAAAGAAGAAGAAGGAAAAGATCAAAAAAGGAAACATTGAGAGATCATAACATAGAATGGAATGAAAAATGAATCGAGAGTAGAATAGATGAAACAAAAGATAAAAAGCTTTTCATACCTGAAACGAGTATCTTGTTGACTGGTAAATACTAATTCACCATGTTGATTATAAGTCACTTCGGTAAATTGTTTCGCGAACGTAGATATAAATGGTCCTAAAATTTGAAAGGCAGACATTCGCACCCATTTCGAATCGTCGTTAAGATGCGTGGCAAGAAGATCTGCCAAGAGTAATCGACGATGTTGAAGAGTCATACAGCACGAAACTGGCATCATAACGTCCACGCATGCTTTTCGGACACCCCACACTGTATCGCAACACAGATCGACAAATACCGGAAACTGTGTGAGAGAGTAAAAGAAATATTATAATCTGTTT